TTACGCATGGTATAGAATTGCTTAGTCGTCATTTTCAACTTCTTTAGCATATTCGTCAGGAGTTGTCTTATATTTGTTAGGAACTGTCTTTGAAAGTATACCACCTTGAACTTTGACAAGTTTGAAACGAGGTCTGACAATAGTAGTTTTATCTTCTGCTTGCAGTCTGTACATTTTGCCATGTTTGCCTAAAACTTCATAATATTCTCTTGTATACTTTCTTCTATTTTTACGAACACAAATGTGAGTACCTGTCGAGTTCCCATTGTTGTCATAGTCAATAGTATTTTCATATGGGTCGCGTTTAGGTATTTCTATTTTTACTTTGTCACCTTTCTTAAGTTTGAAGCCTGGCATTCTTTCTTGTTTGTCTCTTTTGACTAAACTATTAAATATATAGTCTTTCTCTAAGTCGGGGTTGTTTTTCATTTCTTCGGGGGAGTGGTTTCCCAAACCTTTTTGTTTACGGTTATTGTAAATATTTAAAACTTGTCTCATCTTTGCCATGGAGAAGTGTCTATACTTGTCGTCATATGACATTTCATTTGCTTCACCACCTTGTGGTTGGTTTAAGTCTCTTAACATTTTTATACAACCGTCAATGACACCAAGAGCAGAATGGTTTTGGTCGACAATGAAATATTGGTTTACATTTTTTGAACGCAGATAGTTTTTAATATCGTCTGATTTGAAAGAACTTTCACAGTCAGATGTCAGTTTTGTTGGATGGTATTTGTCAACAAATATTGTCAAAGCTGCTAAGATATCTAAAATATTTTTGGACTGTAATGGTATGGCTTCACAGTATCTTGTGTTTTGACCGACAAATATTAGCCAGTATGGTGGTCCATCTTCTCTATACCTCGGAATGTTTTCCAAGATATCCATAAACCAAGCATTTGGTGTTGAACTAAAGATTTTTACCATGAGTGCTTTCTTTGTCGCTTTAGAAACATAGGGGTCCTTGTTTGGATTCGTCATTTTTTAACCCATAAGAAATGGGTTTATTTGGCGCGTTAGCAGGAGTTGCATCCAGATTTTTACCCGCAGTGGGAACAATAGCCAGAGGTGTATTTGGAGTTGGAAGGAAGATTTTGAGTACATTAGGTATACTTAAAGAGAAAGCACAACCTATTATACAAACTGTACAGAAAGGTTGGGAGGTAGCACGAGATGCAACAAATCTTATTCCAAATCCTGAAACAAGAGGAAAAGTTCAAGGATGGATGGACAATGTAGGAAGACAAGCAGGAAACTATTATAACAAAGCAAATGACTACTATAACCAAGCAGGACACTATATGGACCAAGGTGAAAGATTCTTTAACAGAGGATATAACCATGCACAACAATGGGTAAACAATAACCAACCTCAACCGCCTCAAACGTGGGGAATGTAAAGTTTTTTACTGAGATGAAATGAACAATACAGCATTGAGACAAATGGGTTCAAGATGGATTTGTCGGCTTCCAGCAGTTACACAACGTGTTTGTCAAGTTCTTCCTATACCTCAGGAAGTTTTAGACCGACTTAAAAACAACAAAACCAGTTGAAAACAAACCAAACTAAAATTTTTACTGAGATGAAATGACCGAAGAAGTTGAAACGGTAGATTTGACACCACAAACAAAAAGTTCAGAACCATTGTCAAAACCTGTCAAAGAACTTACAGATGAAGAGAAAAATTCAATAATAGAAAGTGCCAGGTCTGGAAATACAAACCCTAACTACAAAGTCACTTTTCATAAAAATGGAACGGCAAGTATCTCAAAAAAGAAACAGACTCTCACAAATAAAATATTGAAGTCTGAAGGAGCTTTCGAGACAACAGATGGAAAAGTTTACTTCACTGACCAACAGTTCATTATAGAACATCTCATTGACTTAGAGTCGAAATATTCTAAACTTTACAACAAACACAAAAAGTTGAAAGGAAAACAAAAACAAATGGCATATGATATTTATGAAGATGTTGACGACACAACTGTTCCTGCAAGTGAGGTAAAGTCAGAGGAACCAAAAAGTGACGAAAAACCGATAGAAGAAGAGAAACCAAAAACTGAAGATAAACCAAAACCAAAGTTTAGTTTGGAAACTAAACCAAGTCAACCTTCATTAGCTGGTATGGGTTGGCGTCAAAGACTTATGGCAGCAGGCGGTTATGTAAAGTAAAGAGAAAAAATATTTTTTTATTTTTATAAAAATGCCCCCATATAGAATGGATAGAAAATCTGCTAGAATAAAAGCAGAGTTACAAAGATATGGTTGGAGAGTTTCGAAGAATTTTAAATATAGGAAGGGAAGACCCATAAAAGTCTATGACAAACTGGCTGGTCTGACCTACGAAATGGATTTGGAAACAGCACGTGCAAATTATCCAAACAGACTAGAGAGGTTAGAAGAAGAACGTCTTATGGACATGCCTTTCGATGTTAGTGAACCTCAAGTTGAAGGACACGACGGCTTTGCCAGATTCTACTGGAAACATGACGAACAATTGCATCCTTTGAGAAGGAAAAAAGGAAAAGGTGAAGACACACATGCTCCCATGAAAAGAACAAGATATGCATATGAGAAGTACCGTGAAGTTAGAAGTCAAATTACTTCTGGTCGAACCTTTACAGTAAACTTTGACGAAGGAAAGAACAAAGAAGGCTTCATGGGTGTACTTGCTGCCATACAAGACGGAAATAAGAAAGGACACAATCTCAGATTGACCATAACAGATTTGGATGGTCACATTTACTATGCACATGGCAATGAACAAACAGCCGCAAAACTTCTTGACGCTTTCAAGACTACAAAGAGAGAACAAATGTTTGACTCCGACTCAGACATTTTGAATGCAATTGAAGGAATTGCAAGTGTCAAGTTCGAATGGTACCAACCTAACCCTCAAGCAGTCAGACAACATGTTTGTTAGATGAGAAATATGAAGTAAAAACGTTTTTAAAACCATATATTTTTACATATATTAAATGCTTCAGGTTGAAAAACAAAGAACAAAAGTAGCAGATACAAAACCGTTAGACTATATCTTTACAAATGCTGGTAGGACTATTTCAGATGAAGAAATTTCATCCCGAGCTTACAGGTTTGACTATCCAATTCGTTGGCTTCAAAGTCCTTCAGATGCAAAGGCAATAGGATTTAGAAGAGTTTTGTTTTCAAATAGAACTAACGCGTTTATGTTCGCAGTATATTTTCATGGGCAGTATAAAGGTTCTGATGGTCTAATAGACAAATTTGATGAAATGAGAATCTTTACAGTTCGTTCAGACGAAAGTCTTGAGAAAACTCTAAATGACTTTCAAACTCAAATGAACAAATACTATTGGGAATTTCAAGAAAAATACGCCTCTTTACTAAATGGAACATACTATCTGAAACTAGAATATGACAAGATGAACTCCACCGTTTCATTTCAAAAGATTGAAATTAACCCTCCAAGAGATACAGAGTTTTTATTTTGGAAAGTAGACAAACGTTCTTGGGCACAATTTCTTCGGTTACTAAACCAGAACGAACCATTACCACCAGATGGTCCATTTAAATTTATACTTCCACCAGCAGATTTGACAGTTTATAGAAATGTGTTTGACCCTCAAAATGTTATGTGTCATGCAAGTTTCAGTTCAAGCAACAATAGTTTTCTATGTATTGGTAAGGACGTTTATGACTTTGCTTCTAAATTCTACGAACCACCTAGTAACAGTTTCTCTGACTTTCAAGTTTGGTTCACAACAAATGGTGTGCAGCATATTATACCATTGTACTATGACTTTTATCTCGAATTGTCTTTCATATACAACTACGGAAAAGTGCTGAAAAAGTATTGAAAAATATATTTTAGGGTAGATGGTTTTTAGGTGTCACCAGGTCCTCGGTCCTCGGTCCCTCGTCATTTTAACTTCTCTGAAAAAGTGTGACAACATGACATTTTGACAACAGTCCAGGAAAATGTCAAGACTTCTTCATCGTAAATGTTTTGTCATGACTTCTTCGTATATGTTTTGTCATGACTTCATCTTCGTATATGTTTTGTCAAGACTTCTTCGTAAATGTTTTGAAGAACTGAAGGTGTCACCAGGTCCCTCGGTCCCTCGGTCCCTCGGTCATTTTAACTTCTCTGAAAAAGTGTGACAACATGACATTTTGACAACAGTCCAGGAAAATGTCAAGACTTCTTCATCGTACATGTTTTGTCAAGACTTCTTCGTACATGTTTTGTCATGACTTCTTCGTATATGTTTTGTCACCCGTTGAATTTTGTATAAAAAGCAACCCGCTGTTTTCCGGCGGTTGGTATATTCTTCACAAAATGCTTGTTTTGCCATGACTTCATCGTAAATGTTTTGTCAAGACTTCTTCGTAAATGTTTTGTCAAGACTTCATCGTAAATGTTTTGTCATGACTTCATCGTAAATGTTTTGTCAAGACTTCTTCGTAAATGTTTTGTCATGACTTCATCGTAAATGTTTTGTCAAGACTTCTTCGTAAATGTTTTGTCATGACTTCATCGTACATGTTTTGTCAAGACTTCATCGTATATGTTTTGTCAAGACTTCATCGTACATGTTTTGTCATGACTTCATCTTCGTATTCTTTCACCCGTTGAATTTTGTATAAAAAGCAACCGTCGAAATTCTGGCGGTTGGTATATTCTTCACAAAATGCTTGTTTTGAGGTCGAGCCACTTTTGGCTCCACCGTATTTTTCAACCAAAACTCATGAATTTTGACACTTTCACAAAAAACATAAAAAATAAAGTTAGTTTTTTTAAAAAAATATTTTTTATTTTTATTGTAAGAACATGTTAGCAACAACAGCACCAAACTCTTTAGTCATGAACCCAACATCTATGTTAGTAGAAATGAAAAGCTTCATTCCTTCTTCATATACTTTCGAAACAGAAATCCAGAAGATAAAGCAGGAACTTCTCCAAGGAGATTTAGACTGTAGTGCGAAAGATGAAACAAATGAACAGTATCTTTATGAAATGCAGGATCTGGTGGAACATCTACCTAAACTTCCTGAAATACAACAACAAAAGCTCACTATTCCTGAATTCGATGAAATTGAAGTCAAAGCAACTGACTCAGTAGAAATAAAGAAGTTCATACGTAAGGTAAACTATGAGTTTCTTGGATTTCATTGCAACCACAAAGTCATGGACAAAGATTGCGACATGGTATATTTCATTGACATATATAAATCTGAAGAATTTAAGACCTACGACAACTTTGTTTCGTTAGTTGCTGAATGTGTATGGCAGATAAGAGATAAAGATAGAAGAGGTAAAGTATGGAACGGACAAATAAAACCCGCAACTTTTGAGTTAAAGAAAACCATTTACGCCTTAGTTGTTTTAGCAGGTAAGGTTTCAATGTACAATGCTAAAATGAACCCACAATGTTCAAAATGTAAAGCAGCAATGAAGAAATATAACTACTCCGTCAAAGAGATAGAACGTATGAGAAACGACTATGCTGACTTAAAGAAAGAAGTAGAAAAGCCAGCAGAAAACAAAATGGACATGTTAGAATTTCTGAACAAAAACTATCCAACTGCTGACGATTTCCTTCTATCTGATGTCAAGAAGAAATATAAAGAAACCTTCGGCATTGTTAAAACTTTTGATATCCTTCGTGAAGAAATAGAAGCTACAAAACTGTTTAAAGTCATGAACCATCACAACATATACCATGTAAAACGCTTGTGAAACTTTATGGTAGAAATATATTTTTGTCTGATTTACGCTCATTGACGAAGAAGTTTTGACAAAACATTTACGAAGAAGTTTATTTCCTGTGTTGTTGTCAAAATGTCATGTTGTCACTATTTTCAAAAAGATGTTAGTTGACCGAGGGACCGAGGGACCGAGGGACCTGGTGACACCTAAAAACCATCTACCCTAAAATCGTGAAAAAAATGACCAAATTTCATTATATAACTGTTATTTTTTTACGAAGAGAACTTTAACACTTCGTAAAAAAATCCCTGAAATCATATCTTTTATACATGAAAATCGTAAAAAATTGCGAGTAGGGAAAAAAACCTGGTCGCCTAAAACTCATGAAAATCGTGAAAAAATGACCAAATTTCATTATATAACTGTTATTTTTTTACCAAGAGAACTTTGACACTTCGTAAAAAAATCCCTGAAATCATATCTTTTATACATGAAAAAAAAAGTGAGTTAAAATGAGATGTTTACTGTAAAGGTACGATGTCGCCTTCTGTGTTTATGAAGAACGCCTGACCCGAGAAGTGTAAGAGTCCTCTGAGAATTTGGGCAATTCGTACAGTTGGGTTCTCTCTGTTTGGAAGTTGTATCCACGGACGCTTTGCAAAGAACTTCAAGAGGGTTTCTTTCTTCATCTCTTTTATGTCGTCTACAGGAGTGTTTTCTGGTATTTGCAGGACAATTCCGGTGTCAATTTCAATTTTAAGCGCACTTCTTCCAGACACCCAGCCTGCAATGGTCTTGTTTGACTTCAGATGGCTCAGGTAGTTCCTAACTAGCTCATTTATCTCTATAAGGTAGATTGCCTCATCTGCTGGGTCTATGTCGGTCATTGTTTCAAGACGAGTCTTTTACTTTTTTCAAGACAAGTCTTTTACTTTTTTCAAGACAAGTCTTTTACTTTTTCAAGACAAGTCTTTTACTTTTTCAAGACAAGTCTTTTACTTTTTCAAGACAAGTCTTTTACTTTTTCAAGACAAGACCCGTATTTTTTCAAGAAATTTTTTGGTGTAAAGTTCTCAAATTTGAGAACAGTGGTCTTGATTTCAGACGATACCCGTACTTTTTCAAGACAAGTCTTTTACTTTTTCAAGACAAGTCTTTTACTTTTTCAAGACAAGTCTTTTACTTTTTCAAGACAAGTCTTTTACTTTTTCAAGACAAGTCTTTTACTTTTTCAAGACAAGTCTTTTACTTTTTCAAGACAATGTCCGACGTACCACCAACCGAGCCCATATCCCAACCAGAGGAACCTAAAGCACCAGCCCCTGCACCTCAGCAACCTCAGTTCCAGCAAGTCCCTCCACCAAATTACTACCAATTTCCACCTCAAGGTTACTACCCACCACAAGGCTTCCCGAACTACCCTCCTCAGCCTATGCCTTACTGCCCTAACCCTTGGATGTTCATGTCAAACCCTCCACCCCAATTCCAATCTCAATCCCAATCGAAGAGAGACCAAGAGTTCGAAAAAGGTCTGAACCGTCTCAGGAAAGAGTATGCTACAGCCCCTATGGAAGACGACAGGCTTTCAGTCTCTTCCCTCAAATCGACCGATTCGACTCGTACCACAGATTCGGTCAAAGACAGAGACGACTACCTCAAGCAGTCTGAGAGACTCTTCATCCTACAACCATTTACAGTTGGAGCTCTCAAGAACATGCGCAATTACGAAGGTCAGACACCAAAGTAACCTATGTACATGAAATTTCACTGCATAAAAGGAAAAAACCTGCGCGAATCGGGATTTGAACCGAGGTCTTCGACGCCTTTAACGAGGTAGCCCATACCACTGAGCTATGAGCCGCTTGCATATTTTTAAGTAAAATATAGTATATTTGTCATACCGTGAAGGATGACCAAACTTAAAAAAAATAACGTTAGTTTTTTATAAAATATTTTTTTTATTTTGTATGTAAGGACAGATATGTCAACATCAGAGAACACAACAACTGCTATCGTTCATGAAGACATAAATGAAGAATATGAGTACATACAATATAACAAACAGTTACGTCTCATTCGTTCGGTCAAAGACGACATGTACCAAATGCAAAGTATTTTGAATGCTCTTCGTTCTACAAAGCAAGCATATCATTGGTTTGAAAACCAACAGACAAAAGAACTTTTAGAAGAATTTCCTCATATGTTTGCTACCCTCGGAAAACCGAGGGTAGAGATTCCGTACGAAAATCGTGAAAAAATGACCAAATTTCATGAATTTCCTCATATGTTTGCGACCCGAGGAAAACCGAGGAACGAGATTCCGTACGAAAATCGTGAAAAAATGACCAAATTTCATGAATTTCCTTAAGATACAAAATAGAAAAAATAAAGTTAGTTTTTTAAAAAAAATATTTTTTATTTTGTATGTAAGAAACAGAAAATGACAAACATTGAGTTTGAAACAGTTAAAAAGATAGACAATGACACCAAAGTGGTTAGAATTGGTGATTTAAACGTAAGATACTCAAAGAAATACAAGAAATATTCTTTGTCAGACATTCTAACACCATCTGGAAAGAGAGCAAAGGACTGGGTTAGAAATGCTTCTAGTCAGAAAATTTTGACAAGAAATCCTGAGCTTTTGATATCGGTAAGATTCTATGGAACTACAGCATATCTTATAGACAAAAGTCTTATACCAATAGTTTTGTTATGGATTGACCCAGTTGTTGGATATAACTTCATAACATATGGTTCATTCGATACGGAACGTTGCAGTGAAGGCTTACTTTACATCGTTCAGAAACCGAAGGACTTCAATACAAAGAGATATAAGATAGGAAGAACATATAATATAACTAAAAGATATGACAGTATAGTCAATAGAGTTAAGGTTGTGTTCGTTAACGATATGAGAGCTGCAGAAACAGAACTACTTGAAAAGTTTGAGAAAATGTATGGTGCTCCCACGAAAGGTAAAGAAACGTTTGAAGTAGATGAGATAGATAGTGCTATAAAATTATTTGACGAAGTTGCTGAAAAATACATGTAAAGCGTTTATTTTTACGCTTGACTTTTTACAATTTGAACTTTGTTTGCGTAGATGTGAATTCTGAAAGAAGTATGAGGGTCTTGTATGACTTTGTACTTCTCCCATAGTTCATGTCTGTCAAACTTACCTGCCATGGACTCTTTCATAAGTTCCATGAAATCGTCTTCGGACAATCCGGGGAAAAGTACAATGTCAGTAAGTATTCTCTTTACATCCTTACTTAAACTCTTGGCTGTCTGTACACAAATGACAACTGAGATGTTAAAGTGTCTGAGCTTCTTAAGAATTCGACACATGTCTTGTTCTCTATTCTTTAACAAAGGATGAGAGGCGAAATCATCTAAGATAAGAAGACATCTATGAGGGTAAGTCTTCCAATCGTAAGATTGCAATTTCTTCGAAATGTATTCTATCTCTTTCTGTTTGTTTCTGAAGTGTTTCTTCTCTAATATTCTCTGCATTTCCTCATTTGGGTCTTTAAACTTAGAATTTATATACTCATTTATAGCATTGTACTTCAAAACTCTTCTTTGGTACTTCTTTATCCAATCTAACAACTCAGAGTCTTTTATACATACTAACTTAGACTTCTTTATAATATCTTTGAACGAATTTACGGTTTGGTCAAATTGACCAGAAGTACTACAAATAACAACTAACTCATAGAATGGGTTCTTCTCATCTAGTTCTTGTTGTTGTGCAGCCATTTTAAGATAAGTGAAAGTCTTACCCGACCCAGGTGGTGCAATTAGACCTGTTATACCATTCTGAGCAAATAAGAACTTGTCATGTATGGGTTTTATCTGAGCATTTTCTAACTTCCTCTTGTTCTTATTTAAAACATTCTCAAATTTTTTGTCAATGTCAGCAAACTTTTTTTCTAACATATTTTTAGAAAAATTAAAATTTTTATCTTTTAGAAAATGTCTAGCGATTTCGCTATCTATATTCGAGACAAGCTTTTCGACAGCAAAACATCTGTCGACCATAAAATCTTACATAGTGTAAACAAGAAAGGTGAATTTGTTCTAAAGTTCTGTTTCTGGGAATATGACAAGAACCATAAAACATTAAGCAGAGCAGTCTTAAAATTTGTCAATGACAGACTTGTTGACAGAGATGACGCCTCTTGGAGAGATGAAGTCCAACAAAACTTCTTAGAATGCAAAGAAGACACATGCACTGTTCTTGAAGATGAAATAGAAAACAGAATAGAAGAGCTATTAAAGGACAAAGAACTTTTACAAAAATATGGTTCTGAGAAGTTTGACATAACTCCACCAGAAAAGAAGAAGAGAGAAAAGAAAGAAAAGAAAGTAGAAGAAGAGAAGAAAGAACCTGAACCAGAGCCAGAGATGAAGAAATTTGACATGTAAAAATAAAATTTTATTTTTAGAACATTTCTGGGTCAATGTCAATGTTCTCTTCCTCTTTAGGAGCAAACACTGGCTTAGACTCTAAAATCTTTTTACCCAATTTACCTTGAACTTCAACTATCTTAGACTCATAATATTCATAGTCGTCTGCTTTCTTTGGTTCATAAGGTATAACAAGTTTGTATGCTTTGCCTTCTTCGAGTTTTGAGAACCTTCTGTCAAAACTTTCTTTGACTGTTAACAAACCTTCTATGTCTAAGTCTTCAAATTTCGCACCATTTTTAGTCACAATAGCAAACTTAACTGGTTCGATGTTCCAAACTTTGCTGAATGAAGACTTTTCAAAATGGTAGAAGTAAACATTCAAATATGTGAATGGGTCTAGTTCTTCTTTAAGTCCTGACATGTACTTGTTTACTGAGATGAATTTTGCCATCTTTTCTATCGGATAAAAAAATATTTTTTTTAAAATTTACTCAGAAAAAATTTTCTTTGTATATACACCATTCTGTACGTCTAAAAGACTTTTGACATTTGCCAAGAATGTTCGTTTAGACGCTGTCATATAACCATACTCTTGACAATATTGTTTATACGAGTCGTACAATGACCTTTCATCTAAACACTCAAAGTCAGTTTCATCTATGAACAGTTCATATACACTCTTGTTTGCTTCTAACAATGTTTGTCTCTCTTCGGTATGTGGAATTTGTCTTGGATTGAACTTTGAAATATCTAATGTCATAAAATATGAGAACAAGTGGTTGTAAAAGTCAGATGTCAAAGTTTCTGCTAAGTCGTCAAAATATTCTGTATCTTGCATATGAGAATCTGACGTTCTGACAACTACATATCTTCTGTCAGAACTTTCTAACTTCATCGGAACAGCATTGTTTGAAACCATAATGAAATTTGCAACATTTTCACAAACTCTTTGGTCTTTATATTTTCTTTCAACAACTCCAACTTTGTCTGTTATAAGACTCTTCAAAGCATCTGAGTTTAAAACTTTTGTTGTATCTATACTTTGAAGTTCGTTACATACTATAAGTTTCATATTCTCTATTGAAGAGTTAAATTTACCGCAGATGTTTTCTAAGTTTGTCATATTAGGGTTCGAATACCTTCTAACAGTTTGCACAAAATATCTGTAAAGAAAGTGTTCTTACCTGTTCCTTGTTTTCCAATTATAATGAGAGCAGTTTCATTTTTAGCACTTGGATGTTGTAAGATGTTTGCAAACCAACATAAGATATACTCATAGACTCTTTCGTTTCCATTGCATATAATTTCTTTGACATGGTCTAACCAAGCTTCTATAATATTTTCTTTCCATTCTACTTGTTCGTATTTATATCCAGTGAAGATAGAATAGAAGTTTGGAGAAGGTGTATAGAACTTTATACCTCGAACTGAAAAATCTTCTAACTTTGACAATAAGATATCCCAAGCATCTAACATCTTCATGCCAACTTGTACAACTTTTATTTTCTTAAGTTTCTGTTTACATTCTTGTTCTGAAACTATTGTCGCTTTAGGTTTGTTAAAGACTACATCCCATTCTTTCATAACATAACATTCTGGGGCAGAGTCGACATAAATGACTAAACGTTTCAAATTCTCGACTGCTTTGTTATAGTCTCGAAATGGACACATATTTCTGAATGCTTGGAAGTCATAAAAATCTGAAACATCTATTCTGTACATTTTTATAAAAATAAAAAAAAATATTTTTTTTATTCTTGAGCTATTTGTTGCATTTGTTGTTCTTGAGCTATTTGTTGTTCTTGAGCTATTTGTTGTTGAAGTTGTTCTTGTAATACAATACTTTCACCAGTTGCATCTTCCAATTCGAAACTTTCTGCCGTCATTGACAAATACATAGGACATAAAAGTTTTACAGGAACAAAGTTTGCGTCAACTAAGGTTAAGTTTATGTTTGCTAAAGTGTTTGAGTTTACTAAAGCTGAAAACTCTGCATTCGAATGAACAATAGGCAAACCAGCAGAGAAAGTGTTGTTTATACGCATAAGTATCTTTTGGTCATAGTAGTTTCTGTCGACATTCGAATAACACTTTGAACCTAAGTTTGAAACAATATATAAAATAGGTGTACTTAAAGTCAATGGAACAGACATTCCTTGTATGACACCTTTTCCTGTTATAGGAAACTGTTGGTAGTAAAAACCAGATATAAGTTTTGTATTATAGCTCATATTGTTTATAGTAAACTCAGTCGGACATCCAAACATAATGAAACCTGCTCTAGTTGCAGCACATGTTACACTCGTCCTTAAAGTATTAAATAAGTCAACAAAACCTGTTGGTGGTATATCTGAGTAAGTATCTTCAAAGGAGTATTTTTTACCATTCACAACAATAAAATCTTCTGGTGTCAAAAGAGCAAAACAAGCTTTAGTCGTCATTGTGTTTAAAGTTAGTTTACAATATCGTCCTTGAGGACTTTGTAAGTTTGTTGTTATAGAATTATATGACTCAGGGTTTTTAGTCGTAATAGTATAAACCACTATGTCTTCTGCCATTTTACTTAGCAAATAAATTTTAATGAAATGTTGTGGTCGTCAAATATTTTTATAACGTCTGGGAAACTATATTTTAAGTTCAACGTTTCACCTCCTTTCATAACGTATATCTTGTCAATGACATTATATGAAACACCACAGCAACTAACGTCGGGTTCTATTTCTTTGATGTTTATATCGTCTGCCTCTGTCAAAAGTTTCAATAGTTCTTTCAAAACTTCATGAGGTGCAATGACATATGAGTTCACTTTTACAGGGTTGTGTTCGACCAAGTTTAACATTATACCTAAAGCTTGACAAATCTTCTCCTGAGTTTGAAGTTTGTCTTTCAGTTGTTGGTAGTCGTTTCGAATATCTGCAACAGAACTTAAGTCTCTGCTAACTTCAGGTATGTTGG